CGGCTCAGCCCACCAGGGGGCGCGGCTGGCCGGCATGTGGTGCTGGGGGATCGAACCGTGGTCCCTGATGTTTTGCCGAGCTTGTTCCAAGTAGGTGCTTTAGACCACTGAGCCATCTCTCCAGCCCCTGTTTCTTCCTTTTCATCTCAGGCTGTGTGTTAATGGTATATGTCCCTGAGAAACACTTCTGTGGAGAAGTGTCAAGACCTATCCCAAAGCCCCTCACCTGGACCTCCAGGTCTGTTTGACAGAGAAAATGTGTCCATGTAGTGGAGCTCTAGAGACTTTGGAGCCCTTATACCCTGAAACTCAGCCCATGTGTGGTCAGCTGAGTCTCTGGGCAGTTGAGCAGCAGCAGCCTGACCCCTGCCATTTCTAGTGAAATGGAACCAGATGGTGGCCACACAGCAAGGTTTCAGAGGATCAGCAGTAGACTCTAGATGAGATCTGGCCAGGCTTTGGGGTAAGAGAAGGAGTCCAGAGCAGGGGCACAGGCTGGGAAGGCTTGGGAGCAGGGCCAGAACCCTGGGGCAAGGCAGCAGGAAGACACACTTGCTTCCATAGCTGTGCAGCTGCCCATGGATAAGGAACTTCCCAGTCAAATTTGGGGTTTGGAATGAGCTCAAAGATGGAACAACTAAAGCAGCCAGGCCTACAGAAGGATAGGTGCCCATGCCTTGGAGACCTTCCCTGAGACCTGAGGCGACCCTCCCCTAGTGCTGGCCCGTGCGCCAGCCTGGCTCAACATCTCTGATTGACAAGATGCAGGGAGGGCTGGGATGTAGCTCAGCAGCACAGCATCAACCTGGCAAGTGCAAGGTCATGTTTGATTCCCGGTACCAAGAAAAAAAAATTCTTGAGAAACGGTGCAGGGAGATGGAAGGTGAGGGAGGGACCAGCCCACTGTCACCTGCATATGCCCTGCCCTCAGAAACCTGAGCTGCTACCCGCCTACTCACCCTAGCCACTGCAATGTGTAATTGGGCACCAGCACCAATGGCCATTCAGCACCGCAGTCACTGTTCTGGCCGCTGGCTGGGTGGGGGTCATCGGGCCTGCCCCCTGCCTACATAATCCCCTGTCTTGGAGCTCAGCTGCAGGATGCCAGAGGTAAAGTAAGGTAGGGTCCTGGGTGGCAGTGGGGATTCCCTGTTGGTACTGAGTGCACTTTTATTTCCAGTGGGCTGGTGGGGGCAGGGCTGGGGTTCCCCTTCCAGGCCTGGCTCTTTCTTTCTGGGCCACATGGCTGGGACTGACTCTGCTTTGCACTGGAATGTGAAAGCAAACACAGCCACCACACAGGCTGCAGCCCACGGCCCACCTCCTGGAGGAACAGAGCTGACCAGGCCTTGGAAGCAGGGCAGGAAGCCAGGGAGAAGGGATGCACAGGCAGGCCCCGGGGGTGTAGCCTTCTTAGTTGGTGAGTCTCTGTGATAGATGGTAGCTCAATTTCACCTAGCTTCTCCCTACATCTCCAGCCAGTGCACTGCACTACCCTATAGCATGAATTTTCTCAACAATCCCACAAGGCAGATTTCCCAACTGAAAATACTTCACATTTGTAAGAACTTGATCTTAGGGAGCCTTACTGAGACCTTGGGGCAGGGATCAGATGAAGTATTTGTTGTTGAGACCTGGGACCCCCTGCTAAGGTGGTGGCTGGTGTCGGGATATAAGGCTGCTAGGGCTGGGAGGCTAGAGCCTGATCTCCCACCACTGTTATTGCAGGATGTCTCTGGGCCCCCAAGAGAGCTGCGCCCTCGGCTCTGTCACCTTCAAAAGGGACCTCAGGGCTATGGATTTAATCTGCACAGTGACAAGTCTCGGCCTGGCCAGTATATTCGTTCTGTGGACCCAGGCTCCCCTGCTGCCCACTCTGGTCTCCGTGCCCAGGACCGGCTCATTGAGGTACCATGCCAACTGATATACCATGTGTGTCCCATGTCTGGACCTCAGGTCCTTGCTGAAGGAGGGGAGTCACTGGGAACCTGAGCTGGCACTCCTCTTTGCTGCCTCAGCTGGTGGTGGCTTTGATGAATATTTGATGGCACACCTGGCTAGGGGGTGTGTAGCAGGCTGGGCTCCTTGGGTCCTGCTGACCCTGTCCTGGTGGCGGCAGGTAAATGGGCAGAACGTGGAGGGGCTGCGCCATGCTGAGGTTGTTGCAAGCATCAAGGCACGAGAGCATGAAGCCCGGCTGCTGGTGGTGGACCCTGAGACTGATGAGCACTTCAAGCAGCTGCGGGTCATACCCACCGAAGAGCATGTGGAAGGTAGGCCAGTGCTTGAGGGTGTGGGGTAGGGTCAATGTGGGGGGAGAACAGCCACTGACATGTTGTCCCCACAGGTCCACTGCCATCACCAGTTACCAACGGGACGAGCCCTGCCCAGGTGAGAGGGTGGGCCCAGGTGACCACGGTGTACCTCTTGAGTCTACAGGCCCGAGAGAGGCCCCCTTTTCCCTGGAGATCTCTGCCTTGAGTAATGTGGTTCTGAGGCCCAGACCCATGTCTGACCCCATCACTGCAGCTTTAATACCCTCTGTGAGGATCCTGCCCTCTGCCCTGGGTCAGCACCATGCCCTAGTCACACAGGACAGGCAGGTACCTGGAGTTCTGGGGCCATTGCCCTCTTTTCTCTGTTGCTGGTACTACGTGGCTATTATTTTATCCGGTAGTCCACACCTCTTTGGAAGCTGGCCCGGGCTTCTACCCAGATGATACTCATAGGTGATTCCTGCATAAATAGTGCCCTCATATTGTGACAGGCCAGGACTGGCCATGTCCCTGTTCACTGCTGGGTGCCCAGAATACTGCTCAGCTTGATCTGGACAGTAGTAGAGGATTGGTGCTCAGTACCAAAGGAGTAGTAGATACACTTGTGGAATTCATGTGCACAAAGGGCTGCATGCAAAGGTATAGTGTGTGTATAAAGGCATGCATGCAAGGTTGTACAAAGGTGTGGTATGTACAAAGGAGTGTATGTGTAGCTGTAGTGAGCAAAGGTGTGTGTGATCAGCTGTAGTATGTGTGCATGTGTCTATCTGTGTACACTAGTGGCTCCCTGGGTGGGAACCCTGAAGCCCTGCCTTGCCCTTGGTTCCCCAGCTCAATGGTGGCTCAGTGTGCTCATCCCGAAGTGACCTACTGGGCTCAGACAAGGACACTGAGGTAACTCTGCTATGTTCAAACATGGGTGTGACAGAGGCTTTGGGGATAGGTATCTGAGGAGATTGCAGCCTGGACAGTGGGGCCACCACCTCCAGGAAGCCCTCCTATACCTACTGCCCTGCTCCCCAGGTAGCCTCTTGTGTAAGCTTCTTGGGAAGGTGCCTGTCTGGGGCCCAGGTCTAGAGCTCACTTCTGACACCTTGCCTTCCCTGTGCCTCCAGGATGGTGGTACCTGGAAGCGAGATCCATTCCAAGAGAGTGGCCTCCACCTGAGCCCTACAGCAGCTGAGGCCAAGGAGAAGGCTCGGGCCACACGGGTCAACAAGAGGGCACCCCAGATGGACTGGAACCGGAAGCGTGAGATCTTCAGCAACTTCTGAGCCTCTCCCTACATGTTTGGGCCCATGTGGAATCTCTGGCCTGCCTAAGGCTCCTCACGCCTCAGTGAACTGGAGGGTAGTCTCATCTCCATCCAGAAAGCAACCTGTGCCCTGGTGAGCCTCTGTCTTATCTCCAGCCTGCTATGTGCTGGGAACTGTCCCAGCAAAATGGGGAGAGAGACAGAAAGAGACAAGAGAGACAGTGGTAGAGAGAAAGGGGGCCAGAGGATGACAATTGTCAGGCCTTTGCTGCTCTGTCCCCGGCCTACTGAAAGGAATTTGTTTTTGCTCCCCCGCCCCCAAATATCTCCTGCACCACACATTTCCACTTAATACCAGAGGCTCCCTGTTCCCTGCTCTCTAAATAATTGTAATAAAACAAACCTTTCTCTGCAAATCATTCCTCCCTACCCCCTCAGTAGCACCATCCTGAGTGGAAACAGGACAGAGCCAGGGGCCTTCAGGCCATGCTCATGTGAGCTTTTTCAGGGGAAAGGCTGGGGAAGCCAAACGTGCCTATAGGAGCTGCCCTCCCTTATGTGGAGGGTTATTAGGCCAGACCTCAGCCCTTTCTTACACTAAGGACTTGGAATGCTGTGCCTGGGCTCAATGAGGGGCCTGAGGATGGAGGCCCATGCCCCCAGGAGGGCAGTCTCCGGACAGGTTCCCCTTTCCACCTCCCAGCTTCCAGACCTGAGGAGTGTGGGTTTAAGAACTACTCCCACAAAGGACCCCAGACCTATAGGCCTAGCCTCTGCCTTATGCCTGCCTGGTGCCCATCCACATGGACATCCCATTGACTCTATTCTTTCTTCAGTGCCCTGAACCCTATACCGACCAACACTGCTGTTTGCCTTGTAAGCCATAGCGCATGCGCGCGCTAAAAATTAAACAGACCTTGCCTTGGAACCTGATATCATGTCTTAAGTCTTCCGTTGGGAAGTAGGGAGTGGGGAGATGAAGCTGTTCTAGGGAACCCTGAGGTCAGGCTGCAGTCAGGGAAGCTGCTTTCAACTCCTGCTCCTACTTGAGACCCCCATGCCCAGATCCATCCTGCCCTACCCTCTGTGGCACATTCTGGGGCCTTGGCCCATCTCTTTCACCTGGTGTGTTCCAGCTTTCCACTATTACCTCCCCTGTGCTGTCTGAGCTCAGTATCTCTACAAGCTACTCTCCATATAGAGCACTACACATAGGTCAAGCCTCATGCCTGGTGTCAAGATAGGTGGCTCTCAATGCAGTGGGGCATTGGAAGAAGGAGCTCTTAGGGTAAACAGGTTCAAGAGTGGGCAGTCTGGGCTGAGAAGCTTCTGGGCCTATAGATGGACAGGGTGTGAAGGATCACAGGGATGCTTTCCCAGTACACTAAGTGCCCGACTTATGAAGAAGCTTCATTCCGGGAGAACGTTCATAAACTGGATTCATCTGTAAGTCTGAGAAAGTGAGACATATACCTTTGACACAAATATACACTGTAAAGCATAAGGAAAACCAAACACACATACTGTAAACTATTTTTACTTTTACAGTTACCTTAACACATGTACAGTAAGTACAAATGTAGGCATGTGAACTATTTCCATGATTTGTTCCCACCTATGAATGTTCACAATGTGAGGTCCCTTCCTATCTGAAAGTTCACAACTCGGATGTTTGTAAGTCAGAGACTTACTGTAGGCTTCCTAGCAGCTGGCTGTCACTATTTCTTTTCTCTGTGAGTACACAGCATGGGCTGTCATATTCTCCCAGGAAACCCAGCCTAACACCCATGAGCAGTATACACACATGCTTCCTGGCTGCCCTCAGATCCTGTAGATAGTCAGACATTAGTTACAAACAATCCCCAAGCTTTATTACACAGGTTGTGACCCCCTCCCCAAAGGCACTTCATAGGTAATAGCAACAACAGGACCCAAGCTGAAGCCTCATGGCCCTTAGAAGCTCTGGGCAGAAGGACAAAGGGTCTTGTTGAGGCAAGTCTGGCAGCGAGGATGGACGGGCAGGCAGATCTGCTGGCCAAAGCCCACCAATAGCCCGTTGACCTCACTCCATAGCTCCCTGTGGAGGCGAAAGCCATGTCAATGTAGAGAGAGAAAGGTGAGGCCCACCCTTCAGTACACCCCTATCCCAATGCACCTGGGCAGCCACTCTTCTAGGGCAATGCGGGTCTCCTCAGGGGATCTGGTCATTCTCTTGGTCCACCTCAGTCGATTAGCAATTCTGTGCACGTGTGTGTCCACTGCTGCATGGAGACAGAGCAGGATGAACCAGTTTACTCCATCAAACCATCATGGCCTAACTCCTTGAGTATATATGTGGGCAGGGGGTTTGAGTGGCCCACCTGAAAGCTCTAGAGTAGAGATGGGAAGTACATAGCCCTGGCTGCACAGCTGCTGCATCTCAAGTGCTGGACTAGACCTACAGTCTCTCCTTTGTTGCAGCCCCCTGCAGGCCTTCCTCCTATTGCCAGGGAAGGTTGGTAGAATGCAGTCCCAGCAATCCTGATGCCAACTGTGTGGGTGGGTAGGAAGGTATCTCTGCTCTAGATTCTGGCCCAATGACAGTAACAGCTATCCTGGGTCAAGGACTTGCTAGAGTTAGGCAGGTCCATCATCAGCCTCAGCTCAGTATCTCATTTCTGATTTTTGTTTGGGAGAGGGTCTCATTATTTAGTTCAGGCTTGGAGCTGGGGAGATAGCTCAGTGGTTTATGTGCCTGACTGGCAAGTAGAAGGACCCAAGTTCAATCCCTAATACCACATGCAATGCTGGCTCTGGAACCCCAGCTGTATTCTGCTGGCCCTGAAACCGTGCGTGGTGGCATATGCCTGTAATCCCAGTGCTAGGGAGGCTGAGACAGGAGGAGCACTGAGTCTGAGCTGCATAGTGAGACCCTGTATCCAAAAAAATAAATAAATAAGTATTCAGCTTAGGCTAATCTTTTTTTTTTTTTTTTTGGTGGTACCAGGGATTGAACTCGGGACCCTGCACTTGCCAGGCAAGCACTTATTCTACTGAACTATTTCCCTGGCCCAGATCTTTTTTTTTTGCAGAACCAGTAGTTGAACTCAGGCCCTTGTGCTTGCCAGGCAAGTGCTAATTCTACTGAGCCATCTCCCTGCCCAGCTCCCCCCCAACCTTTTTTTCCCTCTTAGGCTAATCTTGAACTATGTAGCCAGCCATAGGATGGCTTGCCATCCTCCTGCCTCAGCTTCCCTAAATGCTGGAATTATAGGGATGTACCACCATGCCTTTTTTTTTTTTTTTTTTTTTAACATGTATTTGGTACAGGGTTTCACTATGCAGCTGGGTCTCATAGTGAGCCTCCTGTTTTCAACCTCTGTGGTGCTGGAATTATAGGTGTGCGCCACCACGCCTGGTCTTGGTGGCCGGTATGGTGTGCCTAGGGGCACAGCCGGTGTGGCATGTGGTGCTGGGGATCAAACTCTGGTCTCTATACTTGCCTAAGCAGTTGCTTAGTCTGCTGAGCTATCTCACAGGTCCCCAGCATGGTAATTCTTTATAAACCACCTGTGGGTGTAAAATAAGACCAGGCAGGGTTCGTTCCAAAGTATGCAACATCCAGGATACAGTGTGTGCTTGACACATATGAAGTTCTGGGTTTGATTTCCAGTGTCAAAACCCCCAAAACTCCAAAAAAAACCCAAACCCATAAAAGCAAAAACCCCAGTGTATACTCTTGGCTCATAATTTTCCCAGTTGACCTCTGGTCCATGAAGGGCCTGGTGTGCTTCCTGTCTCATCTCCTGTGGTTTAAGGTCCTGCCTGGCCTAGGCTCTGGCTTTGGGCACTAGGTTGGATAGCAGCAGTTGGATCTAGCAGGCTTGTCTGAGATCACTGCTGCAGAGCTGGAATCTTCCGCTACAGCTATTGGGGACAGAGAGGGGAGTGTGGTCAGGGCTGCTGCTCGACCCCTACTCCTACCATCTGGCTGCTGCAGAGGCTCAGTCTGGGTGCCTACTCATTAGGGCCTCCTCCTCTGTCCCAGGCCTCTTGGCCAGCTGCAATCTCAGCTCTGCTTTCCTTTTCAGTATTCACCATAAGAAGCTAATCCCTGTAAGTTCCCTTGCCTTGCCAATGCTTGGGTGCAGGCATAGGATGATGGCCGAGTGTCATATCCTAGAAACTCTGAGCCTGTTTTCTTCTAATACAGAGCTAACCATATTCCTTAGGACACCCAACTCAGTCCAAGGCTACATTATGGTTGAGATTTCTGTGTTGGCCCAAAGGGCTTCTGATACACCTGTGGTTAAATAGGGTGACTTCTTCATTGGCTTTGAAGAAAGGAGGCCAAGTACTTGACCCAAGGTTGCCCAGCTGGAAACAAAACATCTGGGGTGGGCTCCTATAACCTACAGCTCTAGCTTTTTATGTGAAGGGGATTTTTCCCCTCCTCTAGGAAGCAGCTCTGTGGTCTCTGATGGTCAAGTCCACGACCAGAGAGAGTGACTTTCCAACACTCCTTTTGACTGTGTCTACTGTACTCAAAATACAGTGCCCTGCCTGGCCATGGGCCCTTCCCTCATAGAGGTACCCAAACACAATACAGCAAGCACTCCAGGACATGGGCAGGCAGCTGAGGACAGTATTCAGACAAGCTCAAGTGTCTACAAGGAGGCTGGCAGGTGGCACTGAGAGTTTAGGTAGGGGAGGAGGCTGTGGCCTGCTCCTGCTCAGCCTGGTTTTTGCAGGGATTAATAATATCCAGTCTCAATTGTAGCTGCCAGCTCCCACCCACAGCTCTGAGCCTTGAGCTGCTCTTGCCTGTCAGGGAGTGCTGCAAGGCTGCCTGCCCAGGGACCTGTTGAGGAATGACCTCTGTCCCCAGAACCTCTGCAGAATTTCAGAGTAAGGGGCAAGGAGAGGCTAGGGTCACTTTCTTGGTTTCTGGGCTGGCTGGGCCCTGCTATGTAGCTAAGGCACCTCAATTTTTCTAGACAAAGGTCCAAGAAAGTAGCAGTACTATCCCTACCACAGGGAGTCTGCCTTACTCTACACACTGAAATCTCTAGTGCCAGCAAGTGACATCCAGGAAAAGGATTCCATGATGGGCCCTACCCCTGCCCCAAACCTCCCCACTCAGGTGTCTCATTTCACAGCTTTCTGCTGCACAGCTGTGCAGATGCTGTCCCTTCTGTCTGGAATGCATTTCCTCCTCTCAGTCTGGCTAACCCTGCCTCACCCTGAGCTCTTGGTGGAAACAACCTGAGGAAGTCTTTCTAGATACCACTTGCTCAGCCTAGGCTCTGCAGCATGTATGGGTTTCCCATCAGCGGTGACCGCAGGCGCAGCACTCCTTGTTGAATCTCTCTTCAGCAGGGGGCACACACACCTGTGTCTAGCTTCAGGGCCCCTCACAGAGCCCAACAGGTAATAATGCTCAGTAAATTAGAGCTCCTGCTGTTAATATGGCAGGGCTGGCCAACTTAGCATTGAGAACACCTTCCTAACTCTTCAGGTTGAGTCTTGGATGTGCAGGTTGGAACCAGGTCCAAGGTCACATGACATCAAGAATCCCAACAGCAGCCAGCAAGCCTAGAGCCCATCCCTTCTTCCTGTGCCAGGTGCCACTCACCTATGCCTGACACAATACCCCAGGCCACAGCCATAGCTAAGTGTGCCATCTTGGGCCCGACGCCTGGCAGTGCCACCAGCTCTGACAGAGAGGCTGGGATGTCCCCATTGTAGTGCTGCTGCAGAATGGCACTCGTCTGCTTGATGAACTTTACTTTGGTCTGAAAGATGATTAAGGGGTCAGTCCTGGGGAGGGGAGGGGGAACCTGACCTGGGAGGACAAGATCTCAAAGAGACACATAGAAATCCAGAGCTGCTCAACCCATTCCTCAGTAGATATTTGGAAGGAGCCAAGGGGAGCAGGGAGACCCAAGGGATGCCTCTGACAGAGACCAAAGGCAGGGCTAGACCTTGCCTTCCGTCCACATGACCCAATGACATGTCTGTGGGGCCCAGCTTGTATTTCTCTGCCCCAGCATTCCCTGAATAAAGGCTGAGACAGGCTGAATAGGCCAGCCATTCCCAGAGCTGGGCTCCTCAGAACCTGGGCCTTCAGCAAGGAAGGTGGGAGCCCCAGACTGCCCTACCAGCTGCTGAGCCCGCCAGGCAGTCCCCATTCTGTGCCTGAATAAAGAGGGATGTGAAAGCCTATTTGACTACAGCCCACATAGTTGCTAAGTAGGAGCCCCACCTACTAGCTACTTCCAACAGATCTGTCCACCCACCAACTAGTATTCTGGTGGGGGCAGCTTGTTTGGGGTGACACTCCCGAGGGAGGCCCGGAGTAAACAAAGGGGAAGGCAAGGAAAGGAAGGGCAGGTTGCTGGGTGGGGAGGTGGAGGAAGGAAGGGGCGCAAACAGGAAAGGCCAAAGAGTTCCAGGGACAAAGTACTAGCCACAAAGCCTGCTACCACCCCACCCTACTGGCTACTTGGTGGCATGAGGAACTTGTGGCCAGAAGAAGGTACGTTTGCTCCCTGCCTTTTGTGTCTCTGCCAGGCCAATGCCACCCTAGCCCTGTTGCTATGGGTCAGACTCACCCTCCAGAATCCCACAGGGTAGATGAGCTTGCCTAGCGTGTTGTCATCTGTCTGCAGGATGCTGTCTACTGTCAGACCCCGGGCCCGAAGTCGCTGCATGGCGCCTGCTGTCACCTGGTCTTTGGTCTGGCTGGAAAGCATCAGAGCTAGCAGCACCTGGTATCTTCGTACCTGCTTGTGCAATGACAAGAACCAGGGTACAATGGGTTGTGGCAGCTCACTCTGAGCCAGGCCCCAGCCAAGCCCTCCATCCAACCTGTATTTGTCCCTCTGGACTTTTTACCCACCAAGGCTAACAGGGTAAGTGGGGGCTTGCCCTGTGCTGCCTGCAAGGGGGTATGCTAGCTAAGAGCTGCCAGGTATCAGGCTGTCCCATGCTAGACAGAAGCAAGTGTCTTCCTTGTTGAGGGAGGCATGTCATCAGGGCAGGTGGGGCCCCTGCCTACCTTGGGTGGGGCACTGGAGTCATAGCAGTGCTCAGCCCCTAGTTGGTCCACAGGCGCATCCTTCCTGCTTCTCATGGTGCGGATATTGGCTAGCTCCTGCTTCCAGTCCCGTGGCTCCCAAACTGTCACCTCAAGGGGGTCAGTCCCCTCATTTTTCTCACCATCTGAGGCCTCATAGGCCACGTGCAGTTTCTGCACCTTCCGCTGTCGTTTCACAGGCCTGTGTTTTTTTCTTTCTTCTGCAAAAAAGCATTCAGCCAGGTTTGGTGGCAAGTACCTGTATCCCAGCACTTGGGAGGCTGAGGCAGGAAGATTACCATGAGTTCAAGGCCAACTTGGGCTACATAGTGAGTTCAAAGCCAGCCTGAACTACATAGTGAGACCTTGTCTCCAAACAACAACAAAAAAGCACCACTCTGTCCTTCAAGTGGGGGCCACCAGGGAAAGGTGGGCACAGGTACTGCCTAACATCTCTCATTCAGCTACCCCAGTGGGGGTGCTCTGCTCTCTGCAAGACAGAGGATGTAACCCTGTAAAACTACAGTTAGCCTACCAGGATTCTAGTAAGAGCTTCTACCATTATGCCCCAGTATGTCCACTCAGCTGCATCTAACTTTCTGACACTCAAGTCAGACTGTGTCACTACCCTTTCAGAACTTCTAGGCTTCCCTTTGCATTTAAAATGAGTCCAAACTCTCTCAGGCCATGAAAGCACCTGCTGCCCTGGGAAGCACCATCACCTGCCTGCTTCCCACTGCACACCCTTCCCTCTGCCATGCCTGCCCCAGAGGGTGTCCTTGTGCAGACTTCCCTCGTGCCCTGGGTGCCTATGGAAGTCCTGCTTTGGTAAAATCTATAGAAGTCCCAGCACGGTCTCTGTTAGTCCCTTGAGTCCTGCTTCCTGGCCCACAGTAGGTTGGTCCTTAAGGACGGGACATGAACAATAAATGCCATGCCCTTTCCTGTTTCCTCTTTAAGCCACTCTCCATTTGGGGGAAGACTTCTGGTGCGGCGTTTCTTGGCAGCCAGTGTGGCCAAGAAGGAAGCAGCTCTGAACACAGAGCTACTGTGCCGCACAGCCAGCCTGGCACAAGTAGACCGCCCTGCGGAAGGCTGGTGGGACCGAAACTCTCTCGCTCAGGACGCGGGCGTGTGCCTGCGCACGCCTAGATATCGCTAGCAGCATCCGAGAAAGGGCCGGGGTGGAACCGCAGAGCCACTCGGAGGAACACATGGCTCGGTGGCGCGTGCGGGCTTTGCCGCGTCTTGGGTTGGAGTGTTAGCCCTCAGGCCTCCGTCCCATTCCCTCACTTCCGCGGCCTGGCCAGGTACTGAGCTACCTGCAGCCACCTCTCGGTTCCCAGGCGGCGGGGGTTCTTCCCCATTTCCCAGCGACCCAAAGCCAGTTGCTCGGCTCTGGCTGCGAGTCACCATCCTCACCGCCGCTTTCATGTCTGGTGCGGCTGAGCACGCCTTCCAGCCGCGCCGTGGCCGGTCACGTGCTCAGGGTGCGCAGAACTACGACTCCCGACACGCCCAGCGCGGAGCTCGGCACTATCCCACCCCCGGAAGTGCGGGTTACGCTTCCGGCGGCGGCTTAGGGGGTCCAGGGAGTGAGCCCTTCTCAGCGGCGGGCGGCCGCACGGGGTGAGTGGTTCTTGGTGACACTGCCTCTCGTGCCGGCTGAGACCTTCGTGTAGCCCGGTGGTGACCGGGTGGCGGGGAGGCGGGTTCCATGCGCTCAGACCTCAGCCGCGCCCACTGCAGCTTACGCTGCTCTCTAAGGCCTCCTTGCTTTTATAAATCATGGCGGGTGTGAGCGGGTCGCTGCTGCAGGTGTTCCTACAACAGGTCCTCATTCATCCAGGGAGAAGGTGGCAGAAGTGGCTTCCTGGATAGGGGCGCAGATGGCTGTGTCTGAGCAGGCAGCAAGTCAGGCTAGGCCTGCGTCTACCGTACTTTTTGTGGCCCGCTAGCCCAGCTGTGGTTGAGTAGTCCCACGGGATGGGGGTGGGGTTCTATCCCCTAGAAACTAGGGTCGGTTTGGTTGGAGGTCAGAGGTGGCGCTTGCGGGCGGGGGCTGTTTCTCAGGTGTTTCCAATGTCTGTTCTACATAGAGGAGCCCTCTCCTGGGCCCCTCCCCACCATGGCCAAGCCAGCAAACAAAGATTCCGGCTTGAAGGAGAAGTTCAAGACTTTTTTGGGACTTCGAACAAGGACAAATACTAGATCTGCAGAAGGCAATCAGACCGAGTTTATCATCACAGCGGAAATCCTGAGAGTGAGTGAAACTGCCTGTGGCTTTTTTAGCGTAGTGAGGAGGGTGAGAAAGACTAGTTTGTCACGGTTCTGTAGGGGATGGGTTGTTGATGACTGCACAGGGCTGCTGTCCCCAGTATTATAGAGGCTTACATATGTGTTTTTCCTTAGGACACTTAGCATCAGGATCTTGGTGACATGCTCTAGCATACTTACGTTAGAATTCAGGTGTTGATGCAAGAAAACTTTTTTTTTTTTTGGTGGAACCGGGGATTGAACTCAGGCCCTTGTGCTTGCCAGAAGAAAACCTATTTTGCCAGCTGTGACCTGAACACTTTCGTCATCACAGGTGGCTAGGGATAGCAGGTGTTAACTGGTAATACATGAGTTCCTGGGAAAAGTGGATTTTTTTTTTTTTTAAATGTAGTTGGTACAGGATTTCACTGTGCAGCTCAGACTTCTAGTGATCCTCCTGTTTTCAGCCTCCTTAGCGCTGGGATTACAGGTGTGTGCCACCACACCTGGTCTCTGTGGCTGGCATAGCATGCCCGGTGCTGGGGCCAGCTCGGTCTGGATTTGACTGAACTGCTGACACAGGGTACATCAGGAATGAACATTTAAAAATGTGCTGAGTGAAAAAAGTTAGTCATAGAGGTCCCCATAATGCATAAGTCCATTTACATGAAGTGTCTGGAATAGGAAAATCCAGAGTGGCCAAAAGCAAAATCAGTGGTTGCTAGGGGCTAAAGAGAGGAAGGAATTGATTTGTAATTTCCTTTTAGGATAATGAAAATACTCTGGAATTGGAAATGTAAGCATCATGAATATATTAAACTCTGAATTGCATAGTTTAAAATTGCTGCAGGGGTGTATTTTATATTCTGTGAGGTTTTTTTAGGTACCAGGAATTGAATTCAGGACTTTGCACTAGCCTGGCAGGTGCTTATGCTGCTGAGCTATCTCCCCAGCCCCTTTCCGTGAGTTTTATCTTAATAAAACTTTGCAGTTATGAAGAAATAACAGGGTAGGAAGATAGCTCAGTAGCACAGTGCCTGTCAGGCAAGTGCAAGGTCTTGAGTTCGATTCCCAGTAAAAAACAAAAAACACAAAACAAAAACAAAAGCATTGCTCATTGTTAGGCTGCTGAGGTCCAGTAGTAAGCTCTTGGCTAAAACCTCATTCATAGAGATCTATTACAGAGCTCTCCTGTAGAAAATGCAGAGCAGAGCAGTTTGTAGGATGGTTTGTGATTGGAATTAGGGAGACCTGTCATCTGAGTACCGGCCTCTTTTTCTTCTTTTTGCTTTCTAGGAACTGAGCATTGAATGTGGCCTTAACAATCGCATCCGGGTGATAGGGCAGATCAGTGACGTTGCAAAAACTAAGAAATTTGAAGAGGTAGGTTTGCCTCAGAGATGCCACCTAAAAATTTTAAATTTAGAAGAAAACAGAAGCCTTTAGTTTTCTGTTTGCAGGAGCATATCTTTGCATTACACCTTTGGCTGTGAGGATAATGGGATGCCAAGAGAGGGTGTGATTTCACAGACTGCTTCACGGCACCATGCTTTTGGGCTTACTTGGGAAATGTGACCGGTTGATGGCATGACAGACCTTCACAGAACAGACACCACGTGTATATTTTTAATGATAATTTCTAGTCTCATGCTGTCTTGTGGGCAAAGTGGCTGGTTTTCTAGGGGATAGTGTTGATGTAGAGCACTTTAGAGCTCCTCCTGACCTTGTCCTGCATTTGCGTGTGTGAGATTCAGGAGGTGACTCACTTCTGCTAAGAGAAGTGGCTACTGTATCTTCAGCAGTTTGCTGGAAATATACAAGCTGTACATTATCAAAAAGTAAAATAAAAAATAGGGTCCACATTGAGAACCTTGCCTTTGTAGGTATGGAATGTTGTGCCCATAGATAAGGTGACCTATAAGAGCTGGGATGGTCCACAGACTCAGTGTCTTTGTTGCTCCTCAGGTTGTATCAGTAGGAATCTTGTAAGTGCAACACAGGAGGTAAGGGTTCCAGCAAACCTAACATCTAAAAATTAATAACCTTTGTAGTCCCCATTACTAAAAGGAGTGGTTGAAGAGTGAGAAAGGGGATACAAGAGCCAGCTCAAGTGCTTGTGTAACAGCACTTGAGTCTGGGTGGCTCTGGGCAGCAGGAGTCAGTTCCCACAGCTGGTGGGAGTTCTGAGAGAAGCAGACTTCAGAAGGCTATGCAGAGTTTGTCCTTAGCATCTTCAGTGGTAATAGGGGAACCGCTGAGTGGTCCACATCTACTAAGTTCACAAAGAGGAAAATCATGAGCCAGGGTTTCTGGGTAAGGTGAAGGCCAAGACCCCACCCTGCACATCTCATTCAGAGACTTCTCATGGCGTTCGTTCTAGAGTCTGAGCAACTTTACAGCAGACTCTTTTGCAGTCTTAGGAAAGCCAAGACTGCTCCATTGGCTTGCCTGTTGACTTCTTTCCGTAGCCTTTGGCCTAGACTAGTTAAAGGGACTTGTGGAGGTTTAAAGTGGTTCTGAGACCTGTGGTCATTGCAGGCTGCTGAGGACCCAGTTCTAAGTCAGAAGACCCCATTCTTTTGCTCTGTCCTTTGCTTTGTCATGTTCTTGCATCAAGGGGCCAGGGTTCCTGAAGACCATACCCTTATTGTTGTCCCCATTGTGTTGGTGGCAGCATGCAGTGGAAGCACTCTGGAAGGCTGTTGAGGACCTATTGCAGCCAGAGCGCCCACCAGAGGCTCGACATGCAGTGCTGGCTCTGCTGAAGGCTATTGTGCAGGGGCAGGTAAGGGGAGGAGCCTGATGAACTTCGGCTGATGGCAGGTTACCAGTGATATGGACTCTTTTTTTTCTTTGGTGGGGTGTCATGTATGGGTCTGGTGGTTAACAGGGCCTCCAGAACCCCTATGTGAGCATTGTACCATTGCTCCTATCTGTGTGACCCTGGCTAGTTACTGGAACCCCTGAGCTTCTATCACTTCACTTCACTTTTTTTTTTTTTTTTTTGTACTGGGAATTGAACTCAGGACCTTGTGCTTGCCAGGCAGGCGCCATGTCACTGAACTGTATCCCTGGCCTACCTCCTCACTTTTGAGGGGGTGGTGACTGAACCTTCCTCTGGGATTTTCTGGGGATGGAAAGATGAAATTTATGAGAAGGTAGAGAACGATGCCTGATATGGGCCTTGTTACCATGCTTCTGCTGCCTTGTCCCTCAGCTGGAGGATTCCTCCTTTACCAGGCTGCAGCTGGGCAGAAGTGTTCAAACCTTTGAACCCTCAAGGCCTGTCTTGTTATTCCTACCTGGAAGACTTCTCCACTGGTGGTCAGTTTCTTCCTTCTTGGCCCAGCTGCTTGGAGTGGCCTGTCCACTTGTGCTGTCCCTTACCTGGTGCCTTTGGCCTTTGTCATCATGATATGTATGCATGGATCTACTCAGGGCTGTGAGCTGAGTGAGGCAAGAGCTGCATTGTCCCTGCTCTATGACCTGACATACGTAGAGCCCAATGCAGTAAGTAGTCCACACATACAAGTCAGTTGCCAACCAGTGACTGTGGTCCTCTATCCCAAGCCCACAGGCTTTGCCAAACCATTCTTTGTAAATAGAGAGAAGGACAGCAGGCCAGACCTGGTGTGTCAGTGCCTGTTGTACTTTCTGGCCTATTGAAAGACAGCTGTGTGAGAGAACTTAGCAGGGCTTGCTGACCTGGTGTTTTTGTCTTTAGGGTGACCGGTTGGGTATTCTCAGAGCTCTATTCTTTAAAGTCATCAAAGATTATCCTTCCAATGAAGACCTTCATGAAAGGCTGGAAGTTTTCAAGGCCCTCACAGACAATGGGAGGCATATCACCTATTTGGAAGAAGAACTGGGTGGGTGTCACACTGAGTGTGAAGTTTCTCTGACTTTGGATTAAATTTAATCTGGAATGGGGAAGGACATGGGGGTATCTACAAGGGACGCAGTGCCAGACAGCTCTACTCACCTGGATTTCCCAAGGAGTTCTTTCAAGGTGCAGCTCTTGGGCTTTACTCCAGCTGGTGGCTCAGAGTGATTAGGAAGTAGGCCTCGAAGATTTCTTTAAAGTAGGTGGGTGGTGGGTTGTCTGTTGTTAGGAGAGGCTATTGTCAACCTATCTTGCCCAGTGTGTGCTGTTTGAGCTCAGTTTGAATTTTCACCACTTAGTTGACTCCCTGTACCTTGACAATGAGACATTTTGGTGAGACTCCAGACTTCATGTCATTGTTGTGGGAAGAGGAA